CTGAGCTCAGATCCCCAGAACCCACATAAAAAGCTGGGTGTGGTAGCACACATCTGTAGTACAAATTCCCTATGGTATAGAGAGCATGCGTGCCAACTTAGAAACCAACACATAGACAAATTGGCTGAAAGATTGCGAAAACACGAGCTGCAGAAAAGGCCAATTCAAGACATGGTTTTCTCTGAGGAAGGAGGGAGAGGATGGGGGCTGGAGAATGGATTGCAGGGAACTGTAGGTTTCAAAAATGGCATTGTTCTCAGAGCCTGCAATAAAAATGAGTCAGCATTGAGAGAGAGAAAAAGGCAAAACTCAGCAGGACAGTCATTTATGGGAACAAATGCTTCTAACACAGGCCCCACATTTTCCATTATGGAATGTTTTTCCCCCTGAAGACTTCTACCCATAATAAGAACTGGTCAGTGGGTTTTGTTTGTTTGTTCATTGCTTGATGAAAAAGTAAATAAATAGGGGACTGGAGAGATGGCTCAGAGGTTAAGAGCAATGACTGTCCTTCCAGAGGTCCTGAGTTCAATTCCCAGCAACCACATGATGGCTCACAACCATCTGTAATGAGATCTGGCGCCATCTTCTGGCCTGCAGGCATACATGCAGACAGAAAGCTGTATACATAATAAATAAATCTTTTTTTTTTTAAAGAAAAATAAACAAATGAATAAATAAAAAGCTCTCTCCCTGGCTCTTGGTGGAACATTGTGTGACAAGCACTTTGGAGCTTGACTCATGGGCATGGATATCTGGTGTTTGCAAGGGTTGTCTTGGAGATGACACCATTCTAGAACCTCACAGCCTTCTTGTTCAAACTCCCCAAAAGGTGTCCCCCATTCACCTCTCCTTTTCCTGTGCAATACCCTGAACCAGGGCATTTGCACCCTGAACATACTGGCTGGGTCAGGAAGGCATCCTGTTCCTAAGCCAGGGGTCCAGATGTCCTCACACATCGCTGGAATAAAACCTGCTCTCCAGGTTCAACTTAGCTGGACAAACAACCTTCGGAGATCTTCTCTTCCAGGTGCTGAGGGCAACTTTTGTAACTCGCTGGGCCCCATGACTTGTGAGCCCTGGCCAGGCTGTGTGCGCAAACTCCTTGACTCTTCATGGTGTCTCACATCTGCAACTTAACATCACTCAGAAAACTTAAAGTTTTGGGGTTTTTTGTTTGTTTGTTTTTGGTTTTTTGTTTTGTTTTGTTTTTGGCTTTTTTGAGACAGGATTTCTCTGTGTAGCCCTGACTATCCTGGAACTCACTCTGTAGACCAGGCTGGCCTCGAACTCAGAGATCTACCTGCCTCTGCCTCCCAAGTGTTGAGATTAAAGGTGTGTGCCACCACCACCACCACCACCACCACCACCACCACCACCACCACCACCACCACCACCACCACCCAGAAAATTTTAAATTTTAAAGATGGGGCCGTAGAGATGGCTCATCAGTTAGGAAAACCTGCTACACTTACAGAGGACCCAAATTTGGTTCCCAGCATTCTGCAACTCCAGGGGATTCAAGGCCATATTCTAGACTCCTTGGTCATTGCACAAACCCACACACAGATACATACATATATACACAGTTTAAAATAAAAAAATCTTTAAAAATAAGTTTTAATCATTAGCATGACTTTCATGGTCTTATTTACATTCTACAATGCCAGATTTTCTTTTGTTTTTTTAAAACATCTCTGTGTGTGTGTGTGTGTGTGTGTGTGTTCATGTGTGCACCATGGCATACACATGGAGGTCAGAGGGTAACTTGTAGGAGTCATCTCCTTCCACTAGAACACTTGCCTCATATGCATAAAACCTGAAGTTTAATCCCCAGTATCACATACTCACGTGGATAGACACACACACACACACACACACACACACACACACACACACACCTCAAATGCAAATATAAATGCATCTGACTTACAGGCAGGATCACCAGTCAAAGAGGCTGTACTTTGTAGCTGCTTCAGGGTGGAGGAGCTGCAGGCTGGACAGAGAAGCAAATGCCAGCTGATCGGTGGGCTGGAAGGAGGAGGAGAGGTCCCCAGCTCTTAGACGCAGGGAACTTGGACACTCATAGAAGATGCGGATCCTCAAGGGTTCTCACCCACCGGTGACTCATGCCCCATAGCTGCTGGGATCCCTTTGATTGCTCTGCAGACTCAGAAGCAGTTGAGCAGGCCTCTTCCCTTCCCACAGCCATCACCCCATTCTGTGGGACATAGGTGACCCCAAAGACTCAGAGTTTGAATGACTGCAGCCATGTTCACCCTCACTCCTAGATATCCCAGGGTCTGTAGTCTTGATTCTGACTCTTCAGCCCCCACATGCGCCTCCTTTGGCCTAAAAGAACCTGTTCACAGAACTCGGCAGAGGGTGGCAGATATTGTCAGGCTGGGAGGCAAGGGGGTGGGGGCAGCATCTGAGACACCAGGGAGGAAAGGAGGGGACCACTGAGAAGGGTGGGAGGGCAGCCGTAATGGGACCGTGTGCACTCCTGGAGAATGACCATTATTCTGTTGGGTTTTACCCACAAACACATGCTCAATGATAAAAGGGTTTAGCATCATAAAATAGTGACAGCATAGCACTGTGCCAAGTGCAGGACCCTCTTGAGCGTCAGGCCCTGAAACTGCACACTCATGGACCCATGAAGCTGCTCTGACTGTAGAATGGAGAGGTGGAAGGTCCTACTTCAATATCTTGGTCTCACAGAGTAGGAATTCCAAGAGCTAATACAATGATAAGACAGACGCAACAGAAGTGGGTGAGACTGTGTAAGCACCAGGAGCACAGAGCTGGATAGGGCCGTCAACGCTTTCTTAGTAGGAGCTCATGGATCTTGAAGGGTAAGAGGGAAATCTCTAGGAGGAGGCTGGGGCAGGAATTCTAGGTGTTGAAACAGAAGGTATAAAGGTTGCTGCAGCCAGATTTCAGGTGGCGCTCATGTGGAAGATAAGTTTGATGGGTTCTAACTACCTGGATGGCTACATGAGGGACTCTGTTGTGGCCTGTGAAAGGATCAGTTTTCAGTTGTCTGTCATGAGCACATGGGAAGGAAGAAATGGTGAGATGCTTCCTTAATACGATTCTGGGACCAGGGTGGGTAACAGTGGGCTATGAGACAGGAAGTGGGAAGCTTCTGGATCATGGTAGATTGTGATCAGCTGTCAATGAGTCCTGATGTCCCAGACCTTCCATACCACTTGGTTGGGTCCTGAATATCTAGCTGATATTTTCCATTCTATTTGCTGGAACTGAACTGTGCTCAGGAAGCTAGCTGCTGCCTAGAGGCCAGTGTTCATTCTGTATGTCAAAAGAGACTCGTTACTCCTGCTTCAATTTCTTTACCTATATCATAAATGCTCAGTCTCCTGGCTTGGGTCTAAATGTGGTCCCCTGACCCCATGATTGTTTATAGCCTGGCATGGTGTTCATGTTGGCTGACAACATCCTGTCCAATATCTTGGGGACATTGCCCAGGCCCCAAACCAATATCCTGATAGTTCCTCAGCCCAAGTTTCTGCTCCTCCTCCTCCCTCCAGGCCACTCCAAGTGCCTCAAGTCTGAGCTCTGTGCATTCCAGGCCCATGCAAAGCCTAGGGAAGGAGACTGGGAAGCACACAATTCAGCACTGCATCCAAAGACCAAAAAGGTATCAGGCTAGACCAGACACCATCACCAGCATCCAATGGATCAGCAATACCTGATAATTAGTTCTTCCTCCATCAGGAAATAGCAGACGTCAATACTAGCTATACTTAGATATCATATGGGCTTTACCTGCCCTGGGCTGGGCACTGCAATTCAGGCACTTTCCCCATAGGCGGGCTGGCTCCTATTCTCAGACAACACACTTCTAACACTTATTGGGGCAAAGAAGAAATCTCAAGAGAAGTAAAAGTAATGGTGGGTGTTGGGGCTTGAGAATGGGTCTGTGTAATGGCCTCAAATTTACTATGTAGCTGAGGATAACCTTGAATTTCTGATCCTCCTGCCTCCACCTCTTTATGCTGAGCTCTTAGGAGTGAACCACTGTGGTGATGTATTATGTCCCCCAATATTGTGCACCCTAATAAATTTTATCTGAGGATCAGATGAAAAAGCCAGCCACTATATTAAACATAGAAGTCAGGCAATGGTAGCACATGCCTTTAATCCTAGCATTCAGGAGGCAGAGCTCCGTCCAGATCTCTGTGACTTCAAGGCCACATTGGGAAACAGAGCCAGGCACGGTGATACACACCTTTAATCCCAGCACTAACCATAGAGGTCTGGATGTCTGTACAGACAGATAGATAGTGATGTAGCTGGGTGGAAAGAGGAAATGAAATGGCAGAACAGAAAGGCATATAGGCGTGGGTATACAGGAAGTAGGTCTCTTTGGAGACTGAGGTGTTGGTGAGGTGAGGTTGTCTATGGCTTGTCCTATTCATCTGATCTATCAGGTTTTCACCCCAATGTCTGGCTCTGGGTTTTTTTTTTTATTAATAAGACCATTTACCAATTACAAACCACCATGCTCGATTAGAAAATACGTTAGGCTGAAATAAAAGATACATCTCAAATTTTGCTGGAGGTGAGTAAAACCAGTTCGTACTGGATGTTTGTGAGAGGTGTTTGTTAAAGAGAAGAAATGTATGGATGGCCATCTAAGCATCTATCTTGAGAAACTAAGGAACAAAACAGCCCTAAAACGAACAGAAGGAAACAATGACAGATAGCAGCAGACTCAGTGAGAAAAATCAGTAAAACCAGAGGTTGGTCCTTTGAACAGATTCAATAAATTGGCCAATGCTTAGGCCCTGTCTTAGTTGGGTTCTATTGCTGTGAAGAGACAACATGACCATGGCAATTCTTTCTTATTTTTATTTATTTTTTTATTTTTATTTTTATTTTTTTTCAAGACAGGGTTTCTCTAACAGCCCTGGCTGTCCTGAAACTCACTCTGTAGACCAGGCTGAACTAGAACTCACAGATATCCTCCTGCCTCTGCCTCCCAAGTGCTAGGACTAATGGCGTGTGCCACCACGGCCTGGCCCCATGGCAACTCTTATAAAGGAAAAATACTTAATTTTTCAGCAGCTTACATTTTCAGAGATCTAGTCCGTTATCACCATGGTGCGATGTGATGGCTTTCAGGCAGATATGGTGCTGGATAAGGAGCTAAGAGTCCTACATCTTGACCTAAGGCAACAGGGAGTGATCTGAGGCACTGGGCATATCTTGAGCATATAAGACCTCAAAGCCCATCTCCACAATGACACCCTTCCTCCAATAAGGTCACACCTATTCCAACAAACCACACCTCCTAATAGTGCCACTCCACATGAGCTTATGGGGGCCAATGACATTCAAACTACCACAGCCCCTAACAGGAGAAAGGGGATACAACTCCCCAATCTCATAAGCCAGTGAGATGGCTCAAGGGTAAAAACACAGGCCGCCAAACCTGATGGCCTGAGTTTGATGCCAAGGATTCACACGGTGGAAGCAGAGAACTGACTCCTACAAGTTGTCCTCTGACCTCCACATGTGTGACGCCGCTTGTGTGTCTTCCCCCTTGACATACAAAATAAATAAATATTTACTAAAAATAAAAAGAGAACAAATTGGAGCTAGAGAAACAGTTCAGTGGTTAAGAGCACTGGCTGCTCTTCCAGAGGTCCTGAGTTCAATTCCCAGCACCCACATGGTGGCTCACAACCATCTGTAATGGGATCTGATTCCCTCTTCTGGTGTGTGTGAAGACAGGTCACTCATATACATAAATATTTTTTTAAAAAGAGAGAGAACATATTTTTCCATTCTCGTTTCAATTCTCTAATGAATTACCACTCTGAGGATTATGTGCACCAGGACGTACCCATTTGATACGCTATCTTTGCTTCATGTGGTCTGTGAAGTGTGCCTCTTGGTCTGTAGAAATGTAACTTCACAGTATAAAATGACACAGTTATCTTCTGTTGGTACTTTTTACCACACTTTTAACATTTTCAACTATGGTTCACGATGAAAAGTCCAGTGCAATGTGTTTGTTCCTGCCAGAACCAGGTTATAGCTCCAACAAGGGGTAACTAGCATGGCCTCCATGTATTCCATTTTCAGCTGTGGTAGGGAGTTTCCCTTAGGAATCTGTCCTGTATCTCTCTGTAGTTTCTGTCTCTGCTATCAGAAAGGAGAGTTCTTGTGTGTGTGCACATGTGTGTGTACATGTATGCACTTGTGTGAGATTAATGTTGAATGTCTCCTCAACTATTTCCCATGTGATTGTCATGTTGGCAGTACTGGGGATTGAATCTAAGTCCCTGAGTGTGCTTGGCAAATGTTCTATCACTAACCTTTATCCCCAGGCCACCTTATTTTTTGAAACAAGGTTTCTTGCTGAACCCAGAGTTGACCTGTTCAGTTAGACTGGCTTAGCCAATAAGCCCCAGGGATTCTCCTGTCTGCCTTCCCAGCACAGGGAGCACTGTTATACCTGCCTTGACAAGAGAGTTATTAAGGGCATTTTGTACCCCAGAAGATGCAAGAGACTCACTCACAAGCAGCCCACCTCTGCTCAGCTGCAGTTCTCCAAGTGCTCCCACTTGTCAAACCCCGGGGGGCACCTCATTTGAGTCCCCTAGGACACACACCTGCTGAACGTACTCGATCATTGATTTTAGAAGGGTTCTTCAGGTGCCAATAATGAGTTCCACAGGGCTACACGCAACTTGGGTATCCTTTCAATAACCTGCTCCACCACTGCTGTCTGTCACATGGCAAGGCCACAGGTCACTGCTCGTATGTCAGTGAAATCCTAAGGTGAGGGCTCTTAGCATTGTGCTACCCTCCCACACTGTGGAAAACAGCTCACTGGTCCTCTCACTGGGTGGATTTGTTCTTACTGCCTTGGCTCTGAGTTTCCTCATTAGTAGGTCATGTTACGGTGGCCTTGGGGTCGGATATTAGCCATTCACTTTAAAATAGCTATTTGTAAATGAAGCAGCCCTTCAGCTCAGTGGGGACTGTTCATGGGACGTCATCATCGTGGCCACAGACCTGGAAGACCCCAGATGGCTCTCCAGTCATCCTGCAGGTGTGCATCTCCATATGATGGTCCATCTCGTGGAACTCTTCTTGGCACTGTCTTCCCTGGAGTGTGTCTCGGACATCACTCATGCACTGTGGGAATTTCAGATTCCAAGATTATTTTAGGTTCCTCGGGCTTAGTGGAGTTCCAGTTAACGTCCTCTTGCAAGCCAGTGATTTCGTCTCTAACAATAGACAGGTACATAGCAACATCAAGGGCCTTGTCCAAAATCCCAGGACTCACCACTGGGGGGCACTCAAGGACTCCTGCCATCTACCCCAATCTAGGTCTATGAACTGTCACCTTTTGCGTGTGAGAGAGCCACATGATGGTCTGAAGAGAATTTGGTGGTGATAAGATGGCAATGTTTAACATTATCACTACTTACAGTGATCATCTCTTTGTTCAGAAGATACTGTTCATTGTTTCAAATTAATGGCATATGATGATGTATAAGAGATTAGGCAATTCTGTATGTTCTCATGGAGTGTAGTCAGTTAATATGGACTGAAGGGTAAACTCACCTGTTTATCATCTCACAACAGGGAGGGAGGTCTCTAATGTGATGTAGTATCCACCCCATGAGCATATGCGTGTAGGGGAGATAGCTGCAGTCACGTCACAGAAATCCATTCACACGTTCCTGTACATTCTCAGGCTAGTCTCCTTGACCCAGCAGCCATTACATCTTCATATATTTCCCGTATAACTGGAGCCCCAGTTGGAATTTCACTTTAGAGAGGTCCCATGTCCAAGTACGACAGAAAGGTTTTTTCCTTCAGCTCCTGGGAACGTACACATTTGAGCATATTTGAGGACTCTTTGGGAGGTCATGAGGGTGGGGCCCCCCGTCAGGGGGTTAGTGCCCTGGAGTCAGGGACTCCCTGAAAACTTGCTCCCCACTCCCTATCCACTCTTCTTTTCTCCCCATCTATCTCCTTTCCCTCTCCGATTGTGGGATATGTAAAAGAAATGTACTCCCCCCCCTTTATTTCTTACTTTGTACTATCATTTCTATCAAAAGGTAAAATAAGGCAAAATTTTTTTTTAATTGTAAAGAAGCCACTTGACAGAAATTCAAATTCCTCCAGTATCAGTACTTTCTGAAATTAAAATATATGTGCAAGGTTGCACTCAGTACTGAAAATTTCATTCTACTCACCAGCTGTGGTGCACTAAATTAGCCAATCATATCAGGATGTGAAGTCCAGCTCCTGACCACTCAGAGGGAGGCACAATGATTCACACGAGGATTAAAAACCCAATGGTACCCCTGCTGGGGAGGGCTTGACTGCTTGATCGGGCACCGGTATTCACTCTTCTGCAAAATAAAACCTTTTATCTTGATGAAGTATTTTGGATTGTGTGGTCATTTTGTTGAGATTCATTTCTTACCTAGTATAGAAGCCAGAGAAGACTTGAATGTGGTCATGGTCAGAACCCATTCTTCTGCTCAGCCTCTGCTCTTGGCCAAGGGTAGCAGCCATTTTGGCTCTGAGTATAAATTGGCAAGCCTTTGGCTGAATGCTCAACTATGAAGTCACAGAGGCAAAGGCTGGGAAGCAAGGCTTACGCATAAAAATAAAACAAAACAGCTACACATCGTCAGGGAGACGGAGTTTGGAGCAAACACACAAACAAAACACCATTTGAGTTGGTACAATACTGTACTTCAAAGGCCAAGAATTTAACAAACACTCAGAAAAAAGAAATCCAGACACTGGGTTTATCAGACAAAGCCTTCAAAGCAGCTATTCTAAAGAAGTTTAAAGATTAAGTTTTAGAAAAGTTAAGTAGCTAAAAGATGAGCATGACAGCAATGATTCAACAAATAAGGAAATTCAACAAAGACAGGTTATATTCAACAAAGAAGAATCAAGTGGAAATTCTAATTTGGGAATTGAAAAGCATAGTAACAGAAGAGGAGCACTTACGAGAGACATCAGAGGCAGAGCAAACAATTGCAGACTTCAAGAGGGATCAATACAAATTGGCCAATCTGAAAACAAAAAGAAATAGAGATGGATAGCAATTTTACTAGTCGAGAACATCACAGGCTCTTTGTATCCAACGTCAGCAATTTCCATAAATATTTAGTTTGATGCATGCTATTGGGGAATTTCCAGAGCACTGAGTGGACTGGGCTTTTGCTTTTTTGGTTTCACTGTTTTGATTATTTCTTCCAGACTCAGAGGTACTCTTTGGGGAAAAAAATTTACTAATCCTATAACTATATGGCATCAAAATTGGTGATTACTGGCTCGGTCAGTAAAGGGCTTGCCGTGCAAGCATGAGGGTGGACCTTAGTTCAGATCCCACCGGCGCCTGTAATCCCAGCCCCGAGGAGGCAGACACAGGAGGGGCCTGCTGAGCAGCCCGTCTGGCTGAATTGATGCACTGCAGCCTCACTGCGAAAAATAGGATGGAAGGCTGTCGAGGAAGCCGCTCCATATTGACCTCTGGCTTCCACTCACACTGCCCACACCACATGAACTCATACAACACACACACACACACACACACACACACACACACACACACACACACACGTTGTTCTTTTTTTTTTTATTACTCTTTTGGGGTGCCTGTCACCCAGCTCCTAAATAAATACACATGGAGGCTTATTATTGCTTATAAATGCCCAGCCTTAGCTTGGCTTATTTCTAGTCAGATTTCCTTAACTTAAATTATCCCATCTATCTTTTGCCTCTGGGCTTTTTTCTTTTCTTACTTCTGTATATCTTACTTTCATTCTTACTCCATGGCTCGCTGTGTACCTGGGTGGCTGGCCGCTGATGTCCTCCTCCTTGATCTCTCTTTTCTTCTTCCCTTTAATGTTTTTCTCCTTCTATTTATTCTCTCTGCCTGCCAGCCCACCTATTTCTCTCTCCTTCCTCACTATTGGCCATTCAGCTGTTTATTAGACTGACCAATCAGGTGTTTTAGACAGGCACAGCAACACAGCTTCACAGAGTCAAACAAATGCAACATAAAAGAATGCAACACATCTTTGCATCATTTTAAACAAATGTTCCACAGCATAAACAAATGTAACACATCTTAAAATAATAATATTCCACAATACACATGTATCCTCACAACAAAACTGCAAATAACATCTTGTTTATAGTATTATCTCTCAATCTATTTATTTTTGTAATACTAAAGTTAAACCTAAAGCTTCATGCTTAGTAAGAAAGCACTAGCCTGGCAGTGGTGGCGCATGCCTTTAATACCAGCACTCAGGAGGCAGAGGCAGATGGATCTCTGTGAGTTCGAGGCCAAGCTGGTTTACAGAGCAAGTTCCAGGACAAGCTCCAAAGCCACACAGAGAAATTCTGCCTCAAAAAACCAAAACCAAACAAAAAAGCACTCTACTACTGCATTCTATCTCCCACACTCTATTTATCTTTTAAGCCAGGGATCCACTAAGTTGTTCAGGCTATCCTTGAACTATCTCTGTAGCCCAGGCAAACTTTGGTCTTTTGATCTCTTGCCTCAGCCTCCCAAGTGCTGGGATTATGGGCATGTAACACTACACCTAGATCCAAATAACACTTTTATTGCAAAAATTCTCTTCTATTGTACCTGGAGAGATGGCTCAGTGGCTGGGACGCTGTTGCCCTTGCAGAGCACCTGAGTTTGGTTCCAGCAACTGTCTGTAACTCCAGTGCCAGGGGATCTGACATCATTTTCTCACCTCCTTGGGCACCTGCACATACATGGCATACACTCACACAGACAATCAGACACATAAATACAAATAAATCTTTAAAAAATACTATCTCTTCTCGTTACCTATTTCTATCCATAAACCACTTCTACGACACTTACTTATTTCTCTATACCCTGGGCTGCAAGGGCTTTCAAGCTGAAAGCTCCATCTCCTAGTGACCTTTTCTTTTAGAATGCTGGATGGACAGACATGGTTATGCCAGTGAGATTTGACTTCTAGGAGGGAGAAGGAAGAAGGTACTACTCCCTAGACAGTGGTGGCACATGATGTGCAGGCTCTGGCTGATGTAAACTTTACAAGGACCTGTCTCACGGAGCTCTCTTCCAGCTTCATGGATCTAGGCAGCTGTGACCTTGGCCATGATTTTCTATATGTTCTTCTTGCACAGTCAAAACACCACTACTGCAGCATGACTTGGAGATCTAGCCACAGGTCCCTGACAGCTACTTTTTTGGCTTTGTCATTTCATAATTAAACCCCAGTTTTAAATCGCCCTCTGTCTGAAACATCAAGAATGATTTCAACTTCTGAACTACAACCTCACCTGCACAATTATATTTTATAGGAGAGTGCTAGTTAGCCAGGTGGGAAGTATTTGAGTCACTGGGAGACTTGCCACTGAAGGGGATAGTGGGACCCTGCCCCTTCCTGTCTCCTCTTACAATTCTGGTAAGACAACAATTTCACTCTGTGTGAAGTATTGCCTCACTGCAGGCCCCAGAAGCAAAGGGCTCAACCAAGCACGGTTTGAAACCTCCAAACCTGTGCACCAAAGGAAACCCTTTCACTTTTGAAGCTGTCTCAAATATTCCTTATAGTGATAGAAAGCTCACATACTCATGAACCTTCAGTAAGGACTAACAAAGGTAAATGCTTACGGCTTGAACAAAATATGAGACAAAGTAGATTCTCAACAAACAGTAGGCACGTTTTTTTTCTTTTGTATTTTGTGTGTGTGTGTGTGTGTGTGTGTGTGTGTGTGTGTGTGTGTGTATTACACAGGTATGCATATCCATGTAGACACCAGTCCTATTAGATCTGCCCCTCCCCATGTATGAGCTCATTTAATCTCTTTTATTTAGTTGTTATTATGTAAATAGTGCTCTGCCTGCATGTATCCCTGCAGGCCAGAAGGGGGCACCAGATCTCATTACAAATGGTTGTGATCCATCATGTGGTTGATGGGAATTGAACTCAGGACCTCTGGAAGAACAGGCTCTTAACCTCTGAGCCATCTCTCCAGCCCTCATTTAATCTTTATTACCTCTTATCTTTGGGTTTCTATTGCTGTAAAGAGACATCATGACTATTATGCCCAGATCATGGGGACCCCCAAAAGACCACCACAGAGACAGAAACCCATACATAAAAGCAAAGAGCCTTTTGAATATGATAAGGTAAAAAGGGAGATTATTGAATCTATTTTTAAAAAGGAACTGCTTGTTTTAAATAGGATAAGTAATTAAAATTTTTGTCTGAATCTGTCAAATGTTAATGGACTAGACATTGTTAATGTAATTCTTTTTTTTTAAGATTTGTTTATTTATTATGTATATATTTATTATGTATGCATGTTTGTCTGCAGGCCAGAAGAGGGCACCAGATCTCATTACAGATGAGCCACCATGTGGTTGCTGGGAATTGAACTCAGGACCTCTGGAAGAGCAGTTAGTGCTCTTAACCTCTGAGCCATCTCTCCAGCCAGTTAATGGAATTCTTGACTGTATATATTGTATATACTTATTGGATATAGTTTTTCTTGTATTAGTTATAAGCTTCTTTAAATTTTAGACATAAAAAGGGAAAATGTGGTGATATTGTGTCCCCCAATATATTGTGCACCATAATAAACTTATCTGGGGTCAGAGAACAGAACAGCCACTAGATAGACATAGAGGCCAGAAAATGGTGGGACACACACCTTTAATCCTAGCGTTCTGGAGGCAAAGGTCCATCTGGATCTCTGTGAGTTCAAAGCCACACTGGAAACAGCCAGGTATGGTGACACATGCCTTTAATCCCAGGAAGTGATGGCAGGAAACAGAAAGGTGTATAAGGCCTGAGGACCAGGAACTAGAGCCTGGTTAAGTTTTTAGGCTTTTAGCAGCAGTTCAGCTGAGATCCATTTGGATAAGGACTCAGAGGCTTCCAGTCTGAGGAAATAGGATCAGTTGAGGAAGTGGCGAGATGAGGAAGCTGTGGCTTGTTCTGTTTCTCTGATCTTCCAGCATTCACCCCAACACCTGGCTTCAGGTTTGATTTTATTAGTCAGACGTTTAAGATTCATGTTACAGCCTTTCTTGCAAGCTTGAGCTTTGTCTCTCCATCCATCTGATGCAGCAGTGAGAACAGAGAGCCCCAAGCCCAGGCGGGGTAGGGTTTTTATCATAGCAGAGGTTGGGGTGAGGGGATTTCCAGGGTTCAGGACCCTGATTGGCTGACATTTGTCTAGGGTACCTTGGTATAAAGGGGAAATAGGTGTGTGCTAGGTTCTGGGACATCTGGCCATCTTATCTAATAGCTGGAATGTTTGGGATGTCAGGTACTTCCCTTAGATGCTGGCCCATCCCTGAGTGGATCCCTGGGTAGTATAAGTTTATGGCTTTTCCTGGATCTGGGTGTTGCCTGCCAGTAAGCCTGTTATGGCAGCTATGTCTGGACCCCTAAGCCTGTCATGGCAGCTGTGTGGTCAAGCTGTTTTTGCCCCCCCCTCCCACAATGACCACTGCAACTCTTATACAGGAAAACATTTAATGG